GGATTTGCTATAAAATTCAAATATAACTACGAATAATAATATTCTGAAAGTATAGCTACAAATTGTAAATACACTGTATATGTTTGTTGTCTCCGCGTAATTTGCTTCCGAGTTCCCACTAGTTAGTATAGCTTATCTAAATTATTTGCTTCAATTTAGCTAATTTCGTATTCATTCCTAGAAATCTGTGTCCAACTTGGTTCATCTTCCAATCTCCAAGCTATCAAAATGGGCATTTGTCTTCGTACTTTTTTTCCCTTCAAAATATTTATATATTATCTTTGCCAACTTGAGAGTTGCACAGTTTTTGTAATCTCAAAGCAATAAAATAGTAAATCAGAGAAAATTTCAACTCTGAAAAAGAATTCGTTGCATAGTGGCTCTAGTCTATTTTAACGCTCTTTGCTTGCTTAAAAAAAATGTTTCACAAAAACCAGCAATTGACAACATAATTTCTAGCTTCTAGTATGTCTCAACAGAAAGCTTTTGTCCTTTCAACTCCATCTTCAAGATTAAACAGATCGCAGGCAAAAGGCAACCACAGCCAATTCATCAGTCCCAAGACCACTCCTGCAATATATTTCTACAATACTTTCATCATTCATTGATTCATAATTTCCCAAGCAAACAAATAAATCAGGTTCCTTTATCCATTCTTTCTGGGATAGTGAAACATTTATACAGTTTACAAGCACTTATTCTACTTCAAGGCGGTCTTACAAGAGGTAACAGAGCATATACCAGCCATAAAGTTGGGGATACAGCCCATCTTGATATTGTACTATTATCTACTATATCACATTTCCTTCAATGATTGACCGTGAGGTTCAACGAGCAGCTTCAGATCACCACATTTCACTCGCTCATCAGATGAAATCTGCTTGCTTTTTCTCAATTACATGCCTTTGGCAGAATGCTTTTATCCCGTGAAGACCATCATCGACCTATGATGGCTTAACTGCAACAGCTAGTAGGAGCCAATTATCAAGTCCCATAGCAACATCTGCAACTATTATTATATGGTTTTGGGCAGATTTGGAACAATTTGTCAATGTGACAAAGAAAAGGCTTATTGTTGTTTGGCATTTCTGGAACAAAAGGCTTTGATCCTGCCAAGGCCTTCCTCAAGAGCTGAAATTTCCACAGCAAAAGTTACTCTTACCCAATTCTTCAATCCAAGTGCCTCCCCTGCAATACGTTAATATTTATGAACATGCAAAAATACTCCTGCCTGAAGTTCTACATCTTTAATGTTGTCAACAGAGATGCAACGGAACAACTTACCAGGTAGAACAATTACAGATTCCTCTCTGGCAAGTTTGGTGCAGAATTCCGTATCATTGTCGATGCCTTCCAGAAGTGACATGTTTAGTTTTGCCTAATAGAGATGAGCAAAAATAAACTATTCAGAATCTTTATCCAACTAAATACTGAAAAATATGTATATCTGGACTAGGGTGTTTATAGCGATACCATAAGAAACATGGATCCTTGTGGCTTGTATGGAGTAAAGCATGGAATCTCCGTTAGACCACCATAGCAAATGTCTGCTGCTTTTCTAAGTAGGTTTATGGTATTAGAGTAGAAATCTTCAGGTGTTTCATCCAGAATACGAGTAATAGCACCCTCAAGAATGACAAGGAACAAGGTTAGATACTTGAATTTAGTTTCATTTGTTCGAAAGATAATCTAAATCGCACAAAAATACTTTATGAAAGATAATGTGCAGGATCCCCATTTCATTCCAATTCAGATTGAATGAATTTCTACTTTTAAATACACAAAGACAGTTCTACTAAAGATTTTAATGGAATCACAAGGAACACTACGCATGATAACTCGGAAATATGGAAAACAGTATATGTCCAGGAAAAGAGCTAAGCATGTTATAATTTGGACAATGATGCAATAATCAATCATCATTTACTGATCATCCCAAGTAGCCGACACTATGCATTCCTATTCAATACAAAAACTTTAGGCCAGGTATCATCATGACAAGCATGTTTCGACAAACTTGAATAAAGGATGCTTTTATCACATTTGTAGATCATGCATCTTGTTATCAACTTATCAAAAAAAATGTAACCAGACTAGTTTGCAGCTCCGAGTAGAACTTTAACAGCATAAAAATGCAACCAGACTAGTTTTCCATGCTTTTAAGGCGAAAACATTTTGCTTGGTCTAACATTTCACATAGTTGCACACTATATCAAACCTTTCGAAATAAATCCCAGTATAATATACCATAGTGAGTGTAGAAGGGTCAGCAGAGATTTCAAGGCAGCTTTTGATGGACTCCACAACCTGAGATCAGAAGAAGAAACTTAAGATTCTTATTTCTGCATATAGATTTTTGCATGTGTGGAGTGTAAATATAACACCCTTACGAGCAAGTAGAATCGCTACTAATGGGGCCAACTGTAAGTTGATTTATCATTTATGCAAGCCTTTATGTGGTTTAGGGCGTAAACGACATGTATGACTGGAAAACCAATCTTTGTTATTTTGTCCCTTATTCATATTTTTCCCTTAACAAAAGAAAGAAAAATGTAAAACTTATTTTTTCCCATCAGAATTTCCTGGTGTTTTTCGCTTTACAGAGAGAGAGAGAGAGAACCCCATGTTTTTGAAGGATGCCATTGCGATCACACATCACGATCCAACCAACTCGCCAACCAGGAACCATCCATCTCTTTGATATGGAGCCAATGGTCAGAATAGGTACAATTTCTCCAAAGACTCCCATCGGCACAAATGAATTACTACCAAAAACTAGATGACCATAGGTTTCATCTGATATTACTAGCATTCCAAGCCTTTTTGCAGCTTCTGCAATCTGTTACTCCCATTTAAGAAACCAACAATTAATGAGCAAACCTCAATCAATGCTTTAAACAAAATAGGCACAATCTAATGCAACAAAGAAATGACCTTTTTTAAATGTTCACGCTTGTACACATTCCCACACGGATTACCGGGGTTTATAACAACCATGGCAACAGTACGATCATCGGCTAGAGCCTCAAGCCCATTGGTGTCAACCTCCCAATCCTGATCAGAGAGAAGATCATAGTACCGCACTTCGAGACGGCTAAATGTGGAAAGAGCTTCATATGTTGGATACCTTGGTCTAGGAAGCAAAATGTTAGCACCAGGTACGGCAAGAGCTGTAATTAGGACTTCTATTGCTTGCTTAGCCCCAGCTGTGACATGAACATCATACGGTGACAATTCGTACGGATAATCACGAGACAGAAATTCTGCAATTGACCTGGTAAATATTTGAAGCATCAACATTACTAAGACTAGTTCTTGTCCTTCTGCAGTACAATTACATTTTGAAAAAGAATTTAAGTACTATCTATTGACGTGGGGAATCTTAGTAACTCAGTTGCTTTGATACCTGAACTTTCACCTTGTTGGTGAGGGCTCAATTTCGCATCTTGTATTATTCCTTTTCCCAATTTCCCACCCCTACCCCCAATGTAATTAAAAAAAAAATCTACTAATGTCGTAACAAAATCAGGCCATCTGTAAGATAATTATAAGTAAATCTCTGTGATGAGTATTAAATAGTAACTTCCGCGAAATCTATTTCAGTAGAGCGTATGATATCGATGGTCCGAGGTAGAGCACTTAATGGACTAGGGTGGCCTCATTTCGCCTTACCAACCCAGGAAAACTCTGAATATAGGCCTAGATCGTTTGTACAGACAAACTTTTGGGTGCTAAGATCCAAAGGCGTCAGAGGCTGTTACCCCGTGGCCAACTCGAAGGAGCTGAAGTTCGACGCAGAACTTTTTGGTTGTTAAGTTATAGCAAGACTAAGCAACATCCAACAGCGTAAGTCCTTCTGGGGTAAAAATGATAACTATGATGCTATAAGGGGTAAAAAAGATCTTTAGACAGTATGTTTAAAAGGGTAGCCAGGTGCACTAAGCTCTCGCTATGCGTGGGGTTTGGGCCGAACCACAAGGTCTATTCTACGCAGTCTTGTATTTCTGTAAGAGGCTATTTTTACGGTTCGAACCTGTAACCTCCCGGTCACATGGCAACAACTTTACGTTACATTGTCTGTTTATATAACTTAAATCTATCCCAAGGTCAGAACTTTAATTAAAATGAACCCCCAAAAAGAAGAACTATTGAAGATAAAGTTAGGAGAAAGAAAAGGGAGAAATCTGAGGAGAGTTTTAAAGTTACCTCCTGGCTTGAAGAATAGTAGAATTTGGGGCATAGCCATTGCATTTACCAGATTGGAGTGCATCAACAAGAGCGTCCTCTGATACCTTAGTTGTTCGAAAACTTGGAAAACCGCTGGGATCGCCATGGCTAAGAGGGATTACAGTTCTTGTATCACTTTTATTAATGTTTTCATTTAAAGTGTTGAGATAACTTCTAATAGTGCAAGCTGATGCTTTCTTTGCATCTTCTTTTCCTTGAAAATTCCACCTCGAGTTTGAGAGAAGTTCCATTTCCACTTACTACTTTGTAATATCTCTTTGGTTTTGAGTAAGATTATTCAACTTTGAGATATAGCCTGAAGATATATTTGTGACCAAAGTCAACGCAATCGTTCGTTAACTCCTAACTACTGAACTGAACTGTGAGTCAGTGTTACTCACTGATTAGGTAAGCGCGTGTCCTTCACTTTGACAACCCAAATGACCACAAACTCACATTTCTCTTCTATTACTCCTTCCGTTTGTAATTTAGACGACTTAATTTTAGTCGACAGGAAATTTAAGAAAAAGATTGACTCGGTATAAAATTTAAGAAAAAAAAGATTTTTTATGGTATTTGTGTGATTATAAAAGTTTATCATTAAGGATAAAATAGAGAATTTAAAGTTAAATTATTTTTAAATTTAAAAATATTTCATTTATCCAAGTTGATCGACCAAGGCTAAAAGAGTAATTTCATATTTCTATTAAAATTGCTACTTCTATCGGTGATGCCTATGAGAAATGGTGTGTTAGTGGTGTATAGAAACAGGCTACCACAACAGACTCTAGAAGCACCCTTCAATCTTTCTCATTCCGCGAAAAAACAGACGCGAGATGACTCTTTTATTCTAACTATCTTCATTAGTTTATGCTACCCTTTCACTTCTCTTCATCTTCTCAATTGGGTCTAACTAACTTTGGTATGTTTTTCTTTTAATTTTTGCCCAAATCTTCTTTCGTTCTCTATAGATTTTTTAATTTTATGGCTGAAATTCTGCCTAGCCTTCTTCAACTTTCTCCGGCCTTCATTTTCTTTCGAAGTTTGTAATTTGTTTAATCTGTCATCAGCTAAAAAAGGTCTTGATTTTTGCACAATTCAGACACTAGATATTTTCGTTTTTATGCATGTTAATGTGTCAAGAGAGAAACTTTAATGGATTTTCTTTTCGGAATTTCGAGTATAATTATTCTTTGGCTACTTGATATCATCTTACGGCTCTAATTTTTTCAGTTGATGTTTCTTATTGGAAAATTTATGCTCCTTCTCTATTCTTTGTGCACAAATTTATTCATCTTGCAATAAACTTTGTGGAAGTATTGACACTTAATTTGGATTTGCATTTGGACAAACTAGCCCCTTTTTGTAGAAGTACAACAAATTGTGTCATTGCCATGTCTGCATGTTGTTCTTTTCTCTTGCATTTGCTTTGTTTATTGCTAATATAAAGGATTTGTTCGTTTTATTCATTTCAGGTCGTCTTAATCATAATCAGACGCACTATCAATTCATTTTAGGTTTTCTCTCAAAGTTTGATTATGTAATTATGAAGTATATTGTGTGTTCACATAAGTTGTTTTGTTTGTGATATATGCCAATGAAATTTATTTTATATTTTACATATTGTATATCCATATTAATCAATGTTAAACATGTAGTTAAAATTTGAGTTTAGCATTTTTTTTTCAAGCCTCGATCTTTAGAAAAATATTCAGGGCTTGAAGCAGCTAATAGGGCTTTTTTTACTCTATTTTGTTGCAAAAAATGGTCGCTTAATTGAATTTATTTTTATAATGTACAAGTTCAATTATATATATTGAATGATGCTAACTTATCTGGCAGTACTTCTTTCTGCGTACTTATTATTTTTTTAAGGTCTTTTGTTTCTACCCAATTCTACTACCTTAAAGGATCAGTACTAAAGGGTGCATGATCTATTCTGAATCCTTTAGAAATCAGCCCCTCTCTATGCTAATTTAGACCTAACTGAATCTAGAAACTTTTGGGTTCTTTTGATGTGGTGATTGCTTATACAGCTCCATCTAAAGTATAATGGAAATTCTCCACAAGTTAAAATTTCAGAAGCTGTTATAAAGATGGAAATATTTATAGAAATTCAACGTAAGTCAAACTTAGGACTCCAGCGGCTATTAGTAAATGCTATGCCCATAAACAGAACACCCCAAAATCAGAAGTTGCAGCATGTTAGCCAAATGAAAGTTAGCACAAGGTGATAGCACTCTGAAAATCCACCAAAACCTAAAAGCATTGTCTTAAAATTTTGAAATATACCCATCCTATGATAAAATAGATGAATACTTGGACAAAAATTCTCTCTATATGCTTTGATAAATAATCTTGCTGGTTTAGAGCTTTCTTTCTAAAATCGAGAAAATAAGGTCACATCAAACTGATTTGTTTCCAGTTTACTAATGTATATAATACTCCTTAATGAGCACTGCAATTGTTTTGGAGGAGAGGGAAGAGTTAGAGTTTTAAAATTCTCTTTTTGGTTTGTGTACATAAATTTTATTTCAGGGATCATGTAATATTTTAATTTTGACAGTTCTAGTCATATCAGTAATATCCTTGTGTGTTGTTAAGTCTGTTTGGCAGCTATTTTAGCTGAATAGAAGTTTTTTTTATGTTAAATGTGTACAAGGAAAAAGACGGTCTTAAGTTAGCATCTATGGTTATGTCTTAAATAAAAGTTGGACAAGAACAACAAAGGTGACTGTGCAGCTAGGGACTAGGATTCAACAGCTCATGGATGACAGATCAAGAAGTCATGTATTCCGATGATATCTGCATTTGAAACAAGTATAAGAGTTTCACTATTTTATGATTCACGCCACCATAATACTCAGGTTGAATATCTCGACTGGATCTTTAATTTAAAGTGGGGAGTCTTAACGGAAGCTAAAGCACAAGAGTCAGGGGTCAAGCTGGTGACTATGGGGGCTTGGAGGAGTAGTGGGGACGCAAGCGTTGCGCAGTGCATTAGGTAAGCCGCGAGAGAGGTATTAGGGGTTTCAAAGGATTACTCTGGTGGGCACAAGGGAGACTGGTGGTGGAATGGAGAGGTGCAAGGAAAAGTGAATACCAAGAAAGCAGCATATCTGAAGCTAGTGGAAAGTGTAGACGAGGAGGAGAAGAGAGAGAATAGGGAGCATTATAAGTTGGCTAAGAAAGAGGCTAAACTAGCAGTTACGACGGCCAAGATTGCAGCTTTTAGTCATTTGTATAAGGAACTCGAGGGCCGAGGAGGGGATAAAAGGTTGTTCAGGTTAGCCAATGCGCCAGAAAGGAAGACGCGTGACTTGAACCAAGTGAAGTGCATCAAGGACGAAGAAGGTAGAGTTTTGTTGGATGAGAGGCTTATCCGTCGGAGATGGCAGACCTACTTCCATAGTCTCTTGAATGAGGAAGGGACAAGAGCATTGTACTAGGTGATTTGAAACTCTCCGGGAGTCGTTGTGACTTTGAGTATTGTAGGCGGATTAGAGTTGACGAAGTTGAGGGAGCTATGCGTAAGATGAATAGGGGCAAAGAGACCTGGCCGAATAAAATCCCGGTGGAGTTTTGGAAGAGAGTGGGCAAAGCAGGCTTGGAGTGGCTCACTAGGTTATTTAATGTTATTTTTAGAACGAACAAGATGCCCGAAGAGTGGAGGTGGAGCACGATGGTTCCTGTATACAAGAACGAGGGTGATATCCAAAATTGTAATAACTATCGGAGTATCAAGCTGCTTAGCCATACTATGAAAGTCTGAGAGAGAGTGGTAGAGGTAAGGGTGAGAAGGAGTGTGACTATTTTCGAGAACCAATTTGGGTTTGTGCCGGGACGTTCGACTACATAAGCCATCCACCTTGTTAGGATATTGATGGAGCAGTATAGGGAGAGAAAGAAAGACTTGCATATGGTATTCATCGACTTAGAAAAGGCGTACGATAAAGTTTCGAGGGAGGTTTTGTGGAGATGTTTGGAGGCTAGAGGTGTACATGTTGCCTACGTAGGTTGATTAAGGACATGTATGGGTGTACATGTTGCCTATATTAGGTTGATTAAGGACATGTATGATGGAGTAAAGACCCGAGTGAGGACGGTGGGTGGGGACTCGGACCATTTTCTGGTTATGATGGGGTTGCATTAGGGCTCGGCACTCAGCCCGTTTTTGTTTGCTCTGGTGATGGACGTACTGACGCGCCACATCCAAGGGTAGGTGCCGTGGTTCATGCTATTTGCAGATGATATTGTATTGATTGACGAGACGCGAGACGTTGTGAACGCGCAATTAGAGGTATTGAGGCAGACCCTGGAATCAAAAGATTTCAAGTTGAGCAGGACCAAGACAGAATACTTGGAGTGTAAGTTTAGTAGTGAGACTCTAGGAGGGGAAGGAGAGGTGAGGCCGGACTCGCAGGTCATCCCTAGGAGATGGAGTTTTAAGTACCTCAGGTCTATTATTCAGGGGGTGGGGAGATTGATGAAGATGTCGCACATCGTATTGGGGCGGGGTGGATGAAATAGAGACTCGCTTCCGGTGTTTTGTGTGACAAGAAGGTGCCACCGAAACTTAAGGGTAAGTTCTACAAAGTGGTGGTCAGACCAATGATGTTGTATGGGACTGTGTGTTGGCCAGTCAAGATTTCTCATGTTCAGAAGATGAAAGTAGCGGAGATGAGGATGTTGAGATGGATGTGTAGGCACACCAGGTTAGATAGGATCAGAAATAAGGTTATTCGCGATAAGGTGGGTGTGGCCTCTATTGAGGACAAGACGAGGGAAGCGCGGCTTAGGTAGTTTGGTCATGTGAGGAGGAGGAGCACAGACGCCCCGGTGAGGAGGTGTGAGAGGTTGACATTGGAGGACTTACGGATAGGTAGAGGTAGGCCAAAGAAGAGGTGGGGAGAGGTGATTAGGCAAGCCATGGCACAACTTCAACTGACCAAGGACATGACCCTTGATAGGAAGGTATGGAGGTCGAGGATTAGGATAGTAGAGTAAGTAGTGTAGAGTGTTCATAACAGTAGTATTGGCACGCAGTCTCGCTTTCTGTTGGTAGTAGGTTTTTATGACTAACCTTTGTTTTCTTTCATTGTTGATCACCTTACTGTCTTGTTGTTTTATTCTGCTTTTATATGGCTTTTGAGTACTGTCCCTTCTTGCCTATATTTTTATTAATGTGGTACTTATACTATCCTGAGCCGGGGGTCTATTGAAAACAACATCTCTATCCTCACAAGGTAGGGGTAAGGTGTGCGTACACGCTACCCTTCCCAGACCCCACGGTGTGGGATAATACTGGGTATGTTGTTGTTGTTGTTGTATCTTTAATTTATCTACATTGTTCAAAATGCGCTATAGATTATAGAAGTAACTATATTGAAGTTACTCATTTTTAATAGAGTATTTTTGCTATAACTGCAAAAATATTTATTTACTTTATGATCATATACTTGGTTATAAAAGCACCAAATAGGTGTTCGGCACTCACTTTTTATTGTTTCCCTTGTCTACTTTTCGCCCCTTGCCCCAAACTTTAGTCTTAGTATCCTTTGGTCTTCAATTACTTACATTGTGTCAAGGTTAATTTTTCTTGATTTTAACGGTGGTTGACTCGGAGAGAATAAGGTACAAGGTAGAGAGGGTTTTTCTTTCCTTCCTTTCTTCAAACGGAACGAAAAGAGATAGAATCAGGCCGATTCCCGAAATGCCTTTCTGGATATTCCTCAATGTCCCGGCTATTCACGGAACGTCCACTCCCTTTGGCAGCATCCACTAATTCGGAACTTAATTTGAAAGCCATATTTCGACCCGGACGTTTTCGGGATGCCGCTAATAACCAACGAATGGCAAGCGTATTTTTTCTATAAAAAATAGAAGAATTGGTGTGAATCGATTCTACATTGAAGAAAGAATCGAATATTCATTGATCAAATCATTCACTCCATAGTCTGATAGATCTTTTGAAGAACTGATTAATCGGACGAGAATAATGATTTGATGTTTTGGCCAGAATGCCAAATGTTTAATCGTGTGCGTGACACATCAACGCTTTATACTAAATGGTGAGCGATTAAACTCTTCATAAAGTGACTTTTTTTATAGTTGAAGTAAACGAATTTTGTATTACTATTTTTATTAATTATTTAACTATTGAAATTTTATTAATCAATTTATTCATTGAGTCATGTACTAATTTTGTGAGTATTAATTATAAGTAAAAATATATCAATGTATAATCTTTGAATGAATAATTTCAGAGAACAATGAATTCCCTTTATCCGCTTTGAAGCTGCTTGATGAGGATTTTCTTGTCCAGGGTCCCTCCCATCTTTCTTTCTTTTCTGTCCCGAAAGAAATTATGCCAAACTGATATTGTAATTTTTACTGGATCCTACACACTAATCCAGATGATCACTTGGGCATCTTATTTACTAGATATATCTGCTTTTGGCTTCTTTTAGGTATGCTTCAAAACATGCAATTTCTTAACTGATCAAAGAAAACATATATAACTTATTAAGATGTCGTATTCTAAGCTGTCGTTGTCCAGACTAAGGCTGCAAGGGCGGATACTTGAATCTATTTTATATAAATGTAATGTACATTAACTTATTATTTATCTTTTATCTTTCATTTATTTTTCTGATCTTTATTTAACCGGCAAAAGACGCACGTCACTGGTAAGTTATTTGTCTAGCTTTTGACATGCTTTTAACTTGACATTTCATTTTCATTTCTTAACTTTTACAAATTCCGACTTACATGGCAATATACTGCATAACACGTTACTTTTTTCTTTTCTACTTTACCAAATTCTATATTGGTGGTTTGCTGCAAGTTCTCCACTCTGGCTACATTATGTGACAAGAATTGAGTTGGGCTAATGCGAAGAAAGAATTTCTACAGGTGCCAATAGTATTGTCATAGCCTGCAAAAATGGAAACTAATTGCAGCATTATAGTTGTATTACAATCTGTCAATATGCAAATAGTACATACCTAAACAGATTCGTGTAAGGGATGTAAAGAATGTGCCATTTTGCACGTTGTTTTGCAACCATTGTGGTGGATATTTTGCAACAATGTGCCATTGTCCCTAAATGCGTGTAAATAATATGAAACAGTTAGTAACCTAAAATGAAGTTGCAGCCAAGAATTATGAAAACGAAAGAATGTGAAGTGATTTCATGTAATCATCTATAGCTTGTAGTATAAAGTTATAGGGTTGAATTAGAGCCAGATTATTACTCACACTAAGGCACCTCTTCTCTCCAATCAATCAAACTCTTTACATATCAATGTACGTTGAATGATTAGTACAACTTGATTTCTACTTTTGATTGCAACTCTAAATACTTTCTGATTTTGTTTGATTGGTAAGTCTCTGTGACATTTGTTAGTATTCTTCCATTATGTGATTTCATTATTTTCATCTTTATAGTTCTCAAAAATTTATTTTCTATCTTTATAATTCTCAAAAATTTATTTTCCATCTTTATATTCTCAATTTATTCTCAACCATTTTTCAATTAAATATGGATTCAGTTTTTTCCATCTGCGTTTTTTTATATGTTGGACTCTTCCACTAAGATAGTTTCCAGGGAAAAGGCAAAAGGTCTATATTTTAGATATAATATTCGTGTTTTTTTTGTGTAAGAAAGTTTAGGAATTTTCTGGAGATCATAGCTATCCAGCAGGTGAAGTTTTGTGTTAATTTTAATTGGTATGATTTATGTTGTCTTTGATTCACTATATAATAATCTGAGTACCAAGAACTTAGTGGGCGTTTGGACATAAGAGTAATAAAATTCCAAAAAAAAAGTGAAAAAAAATTTCAAGTGAAAATAGTATTTGAAAATTAGAGTTGTGTTTGGACATGAATATAATTTTGGGTTGTTTTTGAAGTTTTGTGAGTGATCTGAGTGAAAATTTTGAAAACTAGTTTTTTGGAGTTTTTCAAATTTTCGAAAAAATCCAAAATATCTTCAAGTGAAAATTAAAAATTTTATGGCCAAACGCTGATTTTAAAAAAAAGAAAAAAAAATTGTACGTCCAAACGGGCTCTTAGTATGGGTCTGTGTTTAAATATATGGTAACTGCATTATATAGAGTGCAGTAATCAAATAGCTCTTATAGGTAATCCATTTCTGTTTTGATTGTTATAATAAGAGATTGTGTGTGCGTTCCTAGTATTCTACTTTGGATTGTGTGTGGATATGAATCTTAGGCTACAGTATGGTTTGTAATTCATTTGCTACTTCTAAGAAGTTTTCTGGAGAAAATAGAGAATAAAGAAAAGTTACAGGTATCATTGATGATGGAAATAATGCCTAATTAGCAACATTGGAATACTTGTACTTCTTGAAAGCATATAGGTGCGCAAATAATACTTACATCTGCAATGAGATGTGACAAAAAATTGAAATAAAATTTATTAGCTTCAAGAAATAAAATTTTATGCATCAGATGAAGATGGACCACATAATAGTTGAAGAATGGCTGAATATATATATATATATATNTTTATTATTTAATAATACTAACAATTTCTATGCTCTTTTTAAATGTTTTGCAGGGAAATGGACAGAGGGCGAGGCTAACTGATGCCAATTCTGGAGCATGTGTTGCATATGGTTTTGTGTTATGCTAGTTAAATTGAACTTAACAGGGTGTAATACTTTGGGTGCTTCCTCTCTTTACCAATGCACGTTTCCTCGAGGAAATCTCATGTTTTTTACATTCCTATATTACTTTTACGTGTTCTTGTATTACTTTATCATATCTGAATTTACATGGATTTTTTACCTTTTTATTAAGTAAAAAGTATAACGTATCAATATATTTCATATTTCATGAACCAATATATCGGGCCCGGGGTTAGCCCGGGCAACACACATCTAGTTATTATTAAATTAGAAACACAATTTCACCAACTTTTTCGAGGCTAATATTTGATAAAAATTTAGTCGCACGGGATATTTATAAAATGGACAATATATGTCACTTAATCAAAAATTAAATGAAAAGTATGTATAGCAAAAAACATATACTCCATCCGTTTTAATTCATATGACACATTTTACTTATTCATCCGTTGCAAAAATAATGATTCATTTTTATATTTAGAAACAATCTAACTTTAAATTTTTCATTCTACTCGATTTATCCTTAACGAGAAATTTTCATACCATACAAATATCATGGCCCCACTAAGCTTTTGCTCCTTCAGCTTTAGCACCACATGTTTAAGGAGTTTTTTTTTTCCTTAAACTTTGTGTCAAGTCAAACTATATCATCTAAATTGAAACAGAGGAAGTTGTGCTGATTTTGCAATTGATTTAATATACACATTAAATATGAGTAGTTTCTGTTCCGTTTCAATAGATTACACCGGGACAAATCTAGCAGGCTTCAAGCTCAGCTCTTAACTAGAATCAGGAATCAAGCTGGCTCGAACTCAGCAGTCTTCTAACTCGAGCTCGGATCTACTTATTTTTGAGTCTGTGACAGAGTCAAGTCCAACCAGACTTACATTCAATATAGTATGTTAAGACGTTAAAATTAAACATTAGCGGAAAGAATAAACTAGAAAAGAATTTATCTAGATGTCTTGTTGTATAATCGCATTAACAATTCAATTATTTGGAAATATATATGACAATAAACTGAATTTTAAAATTGTACTAGGACGGAGCAACAAACAACAACAACAACAACAACATACCCAGTATAATCTCACGGGGGGTCTGGGGAGGGTATTGAGTACGCAGACTTTACCCCTACCTGGAGAGATAGAGAGGTTGTTTCCGACAGACCCTCGGCTCAAGAAAAGGTGGAAAGGAAGAGTAGGGGAGAAAAGAGGAGGGAAGAGGGGGGGGAGCAAAAAATATATATAAAAAATAACTAAATTGTCATCTGAAAAAATAAGTATCTACTATCTGACTTTCTGCAAATTCTAAACTGTAAACAGGTTGCCTTCCCCAGTTCCCTAGCAAAGGAGAAAAAGGAAGGGATTAGAGGGGAAGGGTGTAATATATTCATTAGCTTTAGTTCTTCTTTTTGGGCTATAAAATTATAAGTCGATCCTTGTTATAATATAAGCCTGAACCAAAATCTATATTTTTATGAAAAAAGAAACTAAAAGCCAGTTAGTTAGGTTCAATTCAATATGTTCAGCTGGTTTTAAGATTTCTTTTCAACATAGAAGAATATTGGGGAATGCAGGACACTAAGTGTTCGCAACTACGCCATACTATGAGACCCCATATGTTTGGCATATTCTTAAGTAAGTAGATATTTGCACATAAAAAATGTGAGATTTAAAAAAAAATTAAAGTTAAGTTAAAAAAAATATTTGAAAATTCAACTTGTGTTTGGATATACATTTTACTTGAAAAATATTATCGTTTTATAAGAGAAAAATATTGTTACTTGAAAAAGAGGTAAAAACCATTTTTTCAAATTTGAAACTCATCTTTAAAAATTCAGCTAAATGTATAACCAAACACTGATTTAAAAATACTTTTTGGAAAAGAGGAAAAGAAAAATATTATGTCCAAACGGCTCCTAAATCTGGTGTACTAGTCTATCGGATACAGAATCTTCTGTTTATTATAAAGATGTACTAGATAGAAAGAGTTAAGCACAGACAATGACTACTAAAGGAAAGCACGGACAGCAGATTAGCAGTAGTTGGCAATGCGAGTACGTTAATATTTCGATTAACAGTAAAGTGCATAATATATTTTTTGTCTCATATGTCTAACAAAATTTCAAAGACACTTGTTCTAGCTTAGCTAGTTAAAGGTAAACAAATGCTGTAAAGGAACATGAGGGGTATTCTGAAGCTGGAGTTTGGAGATCCTCCTCATAATGATATTGTCTATAGTACTTACTATCAGATACCATTCCGAATAGCATATTACATTCCTCTGATGATTCAAGGAAATTGTTGAAAATCTAAACTTATTTATGAGCTATCTTACACCATACAAGATCCAACTCAAGTAGTTGAAGATCACATTACCGATTCTTGGACTGAACCCTTAATACAGAGATATCAAGATTCCCTCTAAGAGTAGCTTATTGTTTTTTGGCATGCCTTTGATAGAAAGCATTTAGTCTCTTCAGGCCATCTTCCAGAGATGATGGCTCACATGCAAAGGTTATCCTGAGCCAATTCTTGAGTCCCACAGCAATACCTGCACCACATCTTATTATCAGATGTCTATACGACATAGCATCCCGCCAATTTGAGTGCAGGCGGCGAATTCATGCAGCTTTTGTCACATTCATATAATATATATGGTGATTTCGGTTCGTATTGCAGGAAATTTCTAAATTGGACCAAATTAAAGGCTTGTTTGGTAAAACAAAAAAATCAAATGACATTACTACCTATGAATACGAAAGCTCTAACGACTAAAAGCGTATGAGAAACCAAGAAAGAGGCATTTTATAAAACATGCTACTGTCTTTGACAGAGTTTGGTGCTTTATAAGAGAGTTGCTTGTTCTTTTACCTGGTAGAATTATCAAAGACTCCTCCTTAGCTAGCTTGAGACAGAAGTCCAAATCATCTTCAATGTCTGCTAGAAGGTTCAAATGAAGTTTGACCTACGGCGAAAAGACCTTCATTAGATATTGATTATATCTTCTAATCCCAAACTAACAGGTAATTAAGCTTCCATTTTCTCTTACCATCACAAACATAGATCCTTGAGGTTTACTTGGGCAAGTGATGCAAGGTATATCCTTGATTCTGTCGTAACAGATGTCTGCAGTTTCTCTTAGCATATTTGCTATTTTAGAGAAGAAATCATCTTTTGTATTCTGAATGATCTGAGGAATTGCTCCCTGTCAAAATAGGAACTATTAGGGGTGGGAATGGGTGGAGAAGAACAAAAGAAACCAGATACCTCAATAAGAAAAGTGGAAAATACATCTATACTAATAAGTTCTTAAATATCTATTCCATTTGCTTATAAACATAAAAACGTGAAATATGTAAAATAATACAAAGAGCTGTTAGACCAAAACAAACTTCATTCCTTTAGAACCTCCATTTCATATTTCAGGTGGAAAATACAGCAAGTGTGTGGCTAAAAGGAATAACAGACATTTGATTTTCAAAAGAAGGCAAGCAGAAGAGAGTATATAATGAAAACCTGAATAAAGGTTGCGGGGTCAGAAGATATATTGAGAAACCCCGTGATGGAATCTATGACCTGCAAATAAGAAAAGACAGAGTGACAACATGCAGACATTTTCCAAGATAAAACAATCTTATCCTCTCAATCAAAGAGATTATAAGATACGTGGAATAGAGCCCCCTAATCCCTATAACATACTTCTACATTTCTTTATACCCTAACCTACTTTTGATGGCACCAAGAACCTAACACAGATTACACCTTTTCTCATTTCTTTTATCACTAGCTCCATCGATTTTGATGCTAAAAGAATCTTCTTAGTTTTCCCTCATAGTTCCTTCCTCTTCCTCCTACAAGGGAATCCCGCTACCCCAACTCCCGACCCATAACAGATATCATTCACTCAAACACAGTCCTTTAACAAAAGCACAATAGAATCAAGTATAGGTCTTGGAACAGTCACCAGTAAAGTGACTTGCATCAACCTTTACGTTTGATTAATGTGTTTCTCGCTATAAAGCAAATTCTATGTCATTCTGTTTGAATTTTAGCATCAGAGAATCAAGTGTTGGTCTGATTAGTACAGGATGACCATCTTTCAAAGGAGAGTAAGTACCCCATGTTTTTTTAGTATGCCATTTGGATCATTTGTAACAAGCCAACCAAGTCGCCAACCAGGGACAATCCACCTCTTTGATATGGATCCAAGTGTAACTACAGGCGCAATCGATCCAAAGATTCCCATAGGCACAAATGGTTTGCTTCCAAAAGTGAGATGATCATAAACTTCATCAGCAATAACTAAAATTCCAAGCTTCCTTGCCATCTCTGCCACCTGAAGAAATTAAACCACTTTGTTACAATCATAATGACCCAAAGTATCAATATATTACTAGAGAAAACAATATGCATACATACCCCCTTCAAGTGGTGGTATGTGTAGACATTGCCGCACGGATTCCCAGGATTAATAATGACAATAGCCACAGTATTTTCATCTGCCAAAGACTCAACTGCATTAAGGTCCACCTCCCACTCACTTTCTGGGAGAAGATCAAAGTGACGCATTTCAAGATTGCAAAAAACAGCCCGTGCTTCATAATAAGGGAAACCAGGCCTCGGAAGTAGAATATTTGCATTTGGGCGTGCAAGAACATTCAAAATTACTTCAATTGCTTGAGTACATCCAATTGTCAGGTAAACATCATCAGGGGACAGCTTGTTTGGAAGATCTTGAGATAAGTATTCTGCTACAGCCCTTTTCAGAGAAAAAAAAATTTAATGAATTTTTCTGAATTTGAAGAAAATCAATGATGTTTCCGTGAATCAGTCAGTCATGCTCCTTTGGTTTGTTCAAAGAATGCTGATAGTTTTCTTGCTTAGGGGTAAATGTTTAAGTGTAGTAGCTGTATACTTGCGGTTGGGATTTTAAACTTGTATAGCTTAAAGAGGATGAATGAGAAATGGAGGGAAAATGAAATATTTGAGTTTTTCTTGGGAAATGGACATTGTTCCATATCGGAGGAAGAAAAAGCTTTTGATGGGTATATATATAATTGCTCTTCTTCTAACTCTTAAAGAGTTAAAGAAAAAGGCAAGCTTCGCGCCGTCGTCGCTCGCTCGGATTTGGATTTGGATTGATTAATTTTTTTGGACAAAATTCTTTTCAATTATTTAATTAATTAATTAAATAATTAGCGAAAAATTCAATCCGGAATAACCCATGACCCGCGACCCGGTTCGGTCAGGCCCGTTTTCTTTTTCGGATTATTTTAAATACATTTTTCCCGCAATATTTCAAACACCCCTTTTCCAACAGCCATGACTGTTTCTTAAAGGTTGCAAACCTTTTCAGAAACAATGCCAGCAACTCTATAAATAGAGTTTGAATCCCAGAATCTTTCCTTACAAAATTTTCTAAGCTTCTTCTTCTTCTTCTTCTTCTTCTGCACAAAAATTCCAGTGTGTTTTACAGCCTTCGAGTGGCTCGCTGTTCACCGGTGAGTTAAATCGTTCTATCCTGGGAGGATATATTTCAGCACCTCAGATACTTTAGGGGAATAATTTCCTTAAGGACACACTGTGTATTTAGTGGGCTCGATTTATTCCTATACTGTTTTTCTAGAATTTATTTCGTTAAACAAGTATTACTAACTTTCTGTTTTGTTTTTCCAGAAAGTTTAATTGTTTATTACAACAATACAGAATTATAACATTCTTAAGGAAATTAATTTTTTTATATTCTGTATTTTGTTTGTGGAGATTAAAACCTGTGTGGTTTTCTACTCCTTCTGAATTTTACTATTCTGATTTGAAGATATAAAAACTTGATCAAAGTATTGAAATTCGTAAAACGATTTGAAGAACATAAAAACTTCATCGTTTTTCTATGAAACAGTATATAAAAACTTTGGTTTTATTTAATATACATACTGTTTTTGTTAATAACAGTATTGTTTACTGTTATGATTTTACCATTAATTGAACTCTTCTGTTGTTTACAGTGAGAAATGGCAATTGATAACGGAAATTCTTCTGCGACTATTACGGCAACGACGATAGCCTCGTCAAGCCGGACTGCTGTTCCACCGGCAGAGAAACCGGGGAAATTTTTCGGAGCCAACTTCAAAGGATGGCAGCAAAGGGTGTTCTTCTGGCTTACCACACTTGGTATGCAGAAATTCACTAGTTAAGAACCTCCAGTGCCTGCTGCGGGCATGCCGGACAACGAGAAATTCATGATTGTTGAAGCGTGGAAGCAAGCAGATTTTCTTTGCAAAGGCTATATCTTAAGCGCTTTAGAGGATGACTTGTACAATGTGTACAGTGCGATGAATACTTCGAAAGAATTATGGGACGCACTTGAGAAGAAGTACAAGACTGAAGATGCATGCTTGAAGAAGTTCGTGGTTGCCAAGTTTCTAGACTATAAAATGATAGACAGTAAAACTGTTGGAACCCAAGTTCAGGAGCTTCAACTTATTTTTCATGACCTTATTACTGAAGGTATGGTCGTGAATGAAGCATTTCAAGTGGCTGCAATGATTGAAAAATTGCCTCCTTCGTGGAGAGATTTCAAGAACTATCTTAAGCACAAGCGCAAAGAAAT